ATCATCAATTAATCCTTTCATTTATGTGATAAGCCTGTTTTTAGGACGAACATTTACTATAAATTAAAGGTACCTTATGGTATCAAACTTGTTATTATAAAACATGTTTTAGTTAAGGAGTTATTGATACTTCAAGTGTAAAATGATGATATAAAACCTTAATAAAAATGCATTTTTAAGTACTTATCAACACACATAAAAAAACATTCTAGTGTCTCAAATCTTTCTTCAACTCCACTTGAACTTTTTGGTTCAGGTACTATGAAATCTATAGTTTTATTATTAATTGTGAGGCAATTTTCAAGATTAATTTCAATTGTTTTTTGGAAGAATTTAAGGAAGTAATCGGCATGATCAAAATTCTATCCTTTTAATCTCACTCCTAATTGGGGAAGTAATCAGCATGATCAAATTTCTAAATTCTCTTTGGAGTGGAACATGATAGATATATATATAAACTCCATCTCAGTTAACACGAAAAACAATCAGTCAGTTGTAAATATTTTTGCTTCACGTATAGTTGTATCTATAGAGGCATTAACCTTAAATTGTAATCCCAAAATAGAAAACACTAGATACATGCCCACACTCTACCGTAACATTGTTTTTCTGTCATTATGCTGAACTTGGTTCATGTTTGTGTTAAATATGCAAGATAACATAAACTTTAACAACTAATAATGTAAAGAGAAATTAACACAAAGCATAAGCAATAATATAGATAGAAAGGTTTTAAGATGTAAAGGAGTTAATACAAAACCAAGACAACGAGAGTGGGATCCAAATAAAAATCAAAGCTTGTCCATTGCTATTTTTTCCTAGTCCACATAATATAGGTCTAGTATACTTACTAGACCTAAGATGTCTTGGGTCTGGCATGGTTTCCAAACCTATGGCACTTGGGTCTGGCGTGGTTGCAAGACATATGGTGCTTAGGTCTGGCTTGGTTACCAAACTCATAATGCTTGGGTCTTAAATGGGTGTTTGGCCTTGACATGGTTGTCAAACCTAATATGCTTGAGCTTGAAATAGTTGTCAGAGCCTTGACACTGAAATCTGGTTTAGTTGCCAAACCCATGGTGTTCAAATTTGGCATGGGCGTTTGGGCCTAACTTGGTTGCCAAACCTATAATGCTTGGGTCTGGCGTGGTTGCCAAACCTAAGGCACTTGGGGTTGGAATGGTTGTCAAACCTAAGTAACTTGATGCTTAGGTCTAGCATGGTTGCCAAACTTATAATGCTTGGTTCTTGCGTGGTTGCCAGACCCAAGGCGCTTGGGCCTGGAATGGTTGTCAAACCTAAGTAGCTTGGGTCTAACGCTTTGGATTTGCATAATTGTTTTGAGCCAAACAAAGATAATGGTTTTGTTGATGACCAAAAAACTCATGCAAATGTGTTGAATGGTCTTAGGACATTTAATTAATAATTCTTTATGAACTTCTAATGTATTGTTAAGGGAAAAAAAACAAATACCTCCGCTAAACACTATAGAATTTCAATACAAAGATGCAAAATTTAAGTTAAACTCTGCTATATTAATATCAATTGTTAGATACATGTTCGCACTCTTGCAACTTTACAAAGAAAAATTACTCTTGCAAGCTTCTCCGGTTAACAATGAATGGATATACTCATTATCCTCTAATAAAATGTTGATTCAACATACTCAAAGTTCTCATATTTTGCCCATTAACTTGTTGTCCAAACTTTATGTTTCCTATCTCTAATCCTCACAATATTATTAAAAATAAATAACAAAAACATGTTAGATCTTTGAAAAAGATCTCACCTTTGATGTTAGAACCTATAAAGTCCACTACTTTTCCTTAAAAATTTACAGGTTTAATGGTGAGATCAAGAATGTTCTCATTGGATGCATCATTTTGTTAATGGAGGAATAATTAATCACATGAAACTCTTAAGAACATACAAAAACAAACTACATAATTTTCTCACCATTAATAATATAAAATTCCATACTTTTTTTGTTGTCTTTTTCTCTTTGTCGCAACTCTATCCTCTTCTCTGTTAATTTAATGCCCTGTTATCTTCCATTTCTTTTGCTGATTTGGTTGAGAAGGAGTTTCCTCTTATCCAATTTCTTTTTCATTTTGATCTGAGTTGTAAAAAGTTAAAAGAAAAAAAAAAGAAAAAAAGCAATGAATGAGGATAAAAAAAATTAAAAAATATTTTTTAACTCATGAAAAGATAAAAAATTAAAAATAAAATTAAGATTACAATTTATAATAAAAGATTTTTTGATTTATATTGATTTTCCAATACTGTTTAGCTTTTGTTATAATAAAAATGTATCATCGAAGCGTAACGAGCATCATTTTGTAAAGGGCCGTCTAGGAGCTATCGTGCAGAAAGAACTGACATATCTAACGAGTAAGTTGATGTGGTAGGAAGGCTGTTGTCTATTGGTTGTGTTCGAATTGCAGCCATGGGAGCCATGTTATGTGCATCAGGTAACTCTTCTTCATCAACGGCCAACAAATCAACAATGATCATTTGGGTATCAGGGGGCTCCTCCACAGGTACACGGCCTTGAAGCATCTCAACGACTTGACCCATGCTAGGTCTAAGCTGAGCCCTCTCTTGTATGCACCAGAAGGCTACAAATACCAATCTCCTTACCTCCCTCTCATCAATACCTCCACTTTCTGCTAGCCTATAATCAACCACTTCCATAAGCTTTCCTTCTCTCATTTTCTGATTGACTATTTTTGGGAAGTACTGCCATTTACTTTGAGATTTATCATTGCCATTTTGCACCAAGCAAACATTTCTCCGACCTCCAATCATCTCCAAAACCACCATCCCATAACTGTAGACGTCAGATTTTGCAGAAACTCCGTGCTCCAAGAGCCATTCTGGAGCCAAGTAACCTCTAGTCCCTCTGATATTAGTGATAACTTTACTCTCATCTCGTCCCATTAACTTGGAAAGGCCAAAATCTGCCACAATTGCTCGATAATTCTCATCCAGAAGTATATTTTCTGGCTTGATATCTAGGTGCAAGATCTTTGATCGACAATCATTATGAAGGTAACAAAGTGCCTTGGCGACATCAATGGCAACTCTATACCTTAAGCCCCATGATAAACACCCTCCTGGTTGGTTCCGGTTTGATCTTCCTTGGAAAATCCAACAATCCAATGATCCATTGGAGATAAACTCATAGACGAGGAAACGAGGCCCTCCGGCAATTATACAGTATCCAAGAAGGCGCAAGAGATGCACATGTTGCACACTAGCGATTGCTGAAACCTCCGCTTGAAATTCCTTCTCTCCATGCTTCTCTCCTTCAATCCGCTTCACAGCAACAGATGTTCCATCATTCAGGATACCTTTGAAGACTGAAGCTGATGATCCTTGGCCAAGCAATGCCTGAAAATTGTCAGTTGCTTCCTCAAGCTCCTTGTATCGAAACTTCGTAGGAACACCTGCAACTTTTCTAAGAAAACTGTATTCAATCCGAAGCTCCATGCCTTGAGAAACCAATTGACTCTCTAACAACTTTCTGCTATGTTTGTATCGTCTTCTGATAATAAGATGTGCAAAGACTGCAAGGATCACTGAACCACTTGCCCCTGCAATGAGGAAAAAAGGCTTGGAAAGTTTTAGTGATACACGAGCAACGATGATAAAGATGGACAGGACAATAATGGTTGAAACTGCCGTTATAGTTGCTTTCTTGTCCTCCATTACAGCTTCTTTTCTATTTCCGAGAAAGATTGTCTTCCTTTTGTTTACAGAAAACTAGCTCATGAATTAATGTTTGCTTTCGGAAGGTAGACAAAAGAACCCCAAATTAACGGTGACCATTTCCAGAGGAGAGACGTACTTTCGGACAGGATAAATTGTTAAAATGGATACTTTTTTATGGCATATACATGAATAAAATAAAATTAAAAAATTAAAAAAAAAACTACCAACTAGAAGAAGACTTCTTCTTTTCATTTATTTATTTTTTTAATTTTCTTTCAAAGGAAAAACACACTTTCATTCTTATAAGTCCTTGTTTCCACAAAAAAAACAAAAACAAATACACGGGGCGATCCTTTTCCTCTCTTTCGCTGAAAGAGCATCGCTTCGTTGGAATTACGTTGTGGATGCACACGAAACTTCTAAACTTCCACACGACAATTAATGGATGGATATATGTCATAATTTAACCCTTACAAAGCTCTGTGGCTATTTTTCTCAGAAAAATAAAACAGGTCCACGGCCACCAGGAAAATTAATACCTGATTTTACATGACACTTCTCTAATTTCGCAATCTTTTCCTCAAATACTTTCACCAACGTTCTATTTGACATACTTAGGAATTAAGATGACATTCTTGCTCCTGGCAAATGAAACATATATATATATATATATATATATATATATATTTATTCTCGATTGGCTGCAGATTTTAGGCTATGGGTAAGATCTAGATATCCTCTTGCGCTACTATGCTACTGGTGAATCCTGCCGTGGAACCATTCCTTTTACCTTATATAATATTATATGCGTATCCTCGATCGTCGTTTACCCTTAGAAAGAGTAATTCAGCCACCGTGAAGTCATGCGGTGCTTGAATATTTCAAATTATCATCGTCTTTAATAATAATAGTATTTTAAGCCCATGTCAAGACAACTCGATAGCAAAGTCAAATCAAGGTGGTTGTTCCTTCACGATCCTCACCGCATAATTTGTTATATATATGATGATGATGCATGAGAACTAATTTAATACTAAAACATCTTCTTCTAATAATTTAACCAGGGCCTTCACTTCAAATGTAGATAGATGAACAAGGCTTGTATGAGAACAAACCAAAACCGACTTGGGTGACTTCACGGATAATAGAATTGTAAATCAAGAGAAAACGGTCATGATTTCAGAATACTGAGCAGGCACCTAATGTACTATCAAACTTTCGATTTAAATTTTTATATTGAAAGCCATTCTGTTGGTTTTTTTTTAACTTTAGTTTTATAATTTGTTTATAAATTAAAATTTTAATTTAATTTGTTTACATGGAAAATAAGCATTGACAATTTAATCAAATAAAAACAATTATTGTACACTATCATACTCGAAAGCTAAAATCGATTAAGTAAGTGAAAAAAATCATGTTTAAAGAGTCCTAATCAACTAAAGAACTAAAAAGCAGCCGGCCAGGTGATCAAGAATTACAATTGACTAACCATCTAGGTGGTGGCCAAGTGGTAAGGACTTGGAATCAAGGGGTTTGCTCCCCCTGTGGTCTCAGGTTCGAGTCCTTGGTTGCTCATATGATGGCCACTGGAGGCTTACATGGTCATTAACTTCAGGGCCCGTGGGATTAGTCGTGGTGCGCACAAGCTAGCCCGGACACCCACATTAATCTAAAAAAAGAATTACAATTGACCAAATAAAAGCGATAAATCACAGGAGTTTGAGCGTACCCAAGTAAACAAGAGGTTCAATCATACTCGGAATGGGATCCCTCAACATATTAAACTGATTATAATTGTAGATTGATTATGATTCATATAGTTATCAATAAGATGTAGCTCAACTTGTATTAGGACACATGTAGCAGTATAAATAGATCATACTAGATACTAGGAAAGATGACCAACCCCACATATTTGATTTCAATAATTTATTTATTTTTCTCTCTCATGTTTTATTATCTTTTTTTATTTACAACTTTATTTTTATTGCTTTCTTTATTTTTATGCATTTAAGATTCATGTAATCTTCTTTTCTTTGAACTTTTATCATTTTCTAAATGATAGTTGATACAACTAAAAGATTGATACCTTCTTCCAAGTG